ATTTCTATAGAACTTTGCAGTTTATAAAGGGTAGCTAATGGGTGCTGCAGGGGAATAGAATGCCAGGCCTGGAGTCAAGAAGACCTGAGTTCAAATCCAGCCTCAGATGCTTACTAGCTGTGTGACCCTGGACAAGTCACTTGCCTTAGTTCCTCATCTGTAAAATGAGCTGGAAAAGGCAATGGCAAACCACTCCAGTATCTCTTGTCAAGAAAGCTCCAAATGGAGAGTCAGGCATGACTGAAATGACTGAACAGCAATGACAAAACACTTCACAACAACCCTGGGAAGGAGGTGCTGTTAGTATGCCCATTTTATAGATGAGAAAAGTGAGTCAGTTAGTGGTAAAGAGACTTGTCCAGGGTCACCCAGCTAGTACATATCCAAGGCTGGGTTGAACTCAACTCCTCCTGACTCCAGGGTCAACACTCCATCCACTGTGGTACCACCTTGCTGCCATATGGCCTCTTATTCAGGTTCCTTCCATCTCAGAGATTCTGGGGTTCCAGTTGGACCTGGCATGTGACCTGAGCCACAAGGAGGCCTAAAGACACCATGTCATGATTGACACTCATAAAACAGGTCTTGGGGCAGCTAGGTGGCACAGTGGATAGAGCACCAGCCCTGGAGTCAGGAGGACCTGAGTTCAAATCTGGCCTCAGACACAGAACACTCACTAGCTGTGTGACTCTGGGCAAGTCACTTAACTACACTTGCCTCATAAAAATAAAAATAATAAAAATAAAACAAAACAGGTCTTGGCCTCCAAGTGGGCTTTCATTAGCAGACACATCTGGAGCCAGAAAATGGGCTCCGTTGACTAGCCAGTGCCCTGGAAGTGGGGCAGCAACTTGGCCCTGAGTCTGTCATGAATTGGCCCAGGCTGCCAGCACCAGGAACCGGCCTTTGCTACGGCATCTCTGGGAGGCCACAAAACTCCTTCCATTTCCCATGTCCCAAGCATTTTGGTGCCTGTGTGAAAGGCTTATCCCACCTGGTTCTTTCTGGTCTCGTCTTGAATAGCTGTGGGTATTGGCCTAGGGCCACAGATGTGGGCATCTCATGTGGTGTGCATTCTCCTGCTCTTCTTTGAGTCAATGGGGGATCCATCCTGCCCAGATCCCTAGGCTCACTACCCACTTCTTCGGTTAAAATTTACAGAGTGTTGAGATAGAGCAGGCTTGGAGATTGAATGAACACTGAGGGTTCCCTGTGGGGACTTTGAAAAAGGCCAGTTCAGCCCATTCTAGCACCTCCAGCATCTGCTAGCCGTGCCCTCCACCCTAACCCCTTCCTTCCCTCCCTCCTGACAACTTGGCTCCCCCAAGGGCCAAGGCCTGATTGCTCAGTCTTTGATATGCCCAGAGAAGTAGCCCTCACCTCATTTATTCACTCAACAAACATTTGTAGAGGGGCAGTGCCCTTTCATTGGGTCTCCTCCATAAGCCTTTGAGGTGGGTAGTGCAAGTGTTGTTATTCCCCTTTAAAAGGTGATGAAACTGAGGGTAAGTGGCCTGTCCAAGGTCACTTAGCTGGTCAGTGGCCAGCAGAGACTTGAACCTTCAGCTTCTAGGAGGGGAGCAGACAGGGAGCCCTTCTCCCAGTTGGCTGGAAAAGAGCCTTGGCCAAGACTTAGGCCACAGAAGGCTGAGAGATCATCAAGGAAGCCCCCCGAGGCTGTGCCTGTCCCTGAGTGGCTGGAAGGAAGCTGATCAGATCATGAGGAGCGGTCACCTCTGGTGGCTGCTGAGGCCCTTATCTGAGGGTGTGGCAGTGAGATGCCCCCCATTGCTAATAGGGAAGGAAAGCAGTGCCCTGAGGTGCACTGAGGCCCCTCTGAACTCACTATTCAGCACTTGGGAGAACATGCCAGAGCTGGGAGCCAAGAAGTTTGAGCTGACAGTGACCAGAGAGGCAGGTAAGCATTCTCAAGGTTTCTAGCTGGTGGCACATGGGTAGAGCCCTGGGCCCAGAGTCACCCTACTGTGGAGACCACTTTCATCACCTCCTGATGTCCTTGAAGGGCATATACCCCAGGGAGGCCAAAGGCAAAAGAAAGATCAGATGAAACTCAAAAGATTCCCAACAGCACAGTTCAGAGATCCTTGGGAAGCCTCGTCTGATCTGATGTAGCCTGAAGTGAGCAGAAGGGGAGGGGAAGGGAACAAGTGTGTGTGTGTGTGTGTGTGTGTGTGTGTGTGTGTGTGTGTGTGTGTGTGTGTGTGTGTGTGTGTGTGTGTCCGTGTATCTCCTACTATGTGTCACACACTGTTCTAAATGCTTTACAAATATGATCTCACTTGATCACCACAACAGCCCTTCATAGGTAGATACTATCATGGTCCTATTTTACAGATGAGGAAACTGGGGCAAATGAAAATTAAGCAACTTGGCCAAAGTCATACAGCTACTAAGTATCTGAGGTTGGATTTGAACTCGAGTCTTCCTACCTCCAGGAACCAGTGAGGCCAGTAGACATGACAACAGCCACATCAAAATAGGTTAGATACAGTGACCAGTCTTGGTCCCAGAGAACAGGTGATGGACCGCAGCAGAGAAGGGGAGAGTCCCAGGTGCAGAACAGGGGCCTGCCCTGTCATTCGTGTTCCTTTGGTCAGTTTGGGACAAGGCAGAGCTCATTGGAGGCATGGGGGACATTGGGAACGGCTGTGACAGAGAAACCAAAAGGCATCCAGACGGCTCTGGAAAATCATTTTGCAAACGTTATGAGGAAACCAAGGCCCCCCTGGAGTCAAGTGACTGGCTAGAGGTCACCCACCCAGGCCTGGGCCCCAGAGCACCAGGCGCCCTCTTGACCTCGCGGTCTGACCAAAGGGCTCTGTGTCCAGGCAGTGGCTGGCACCAAGGTTGGGACTATTCTAAAAAAAGGCTTGCATCGCCTGAGTTCCCTGAAGTGGTTGGGATCATATTCCTTAGAAGTTATTTCCACGAAATTGTCTGTGACTTCACTGTCAGTGAAGCTGTTGACACTTCTTTTTAAGTGCCCATTCACTTATGCTAAATTACCCTAGGCAGGCATGTGTTCCCCACATGGATGGATTACCGTCATCCATCCTCTTATAATAACCGTCAAATTAAAGCATGATGGGCAAAATGAACTGCTGCTGCCCTCCCACCAAAGGGGGTGGCAGCCTGGGCTCAGAGTCAGCAGGGGGCTGGCCTTGAGCCTTGACCTTAAGCAAGTGCCCTGCCTTGTCCAGCTCCAAATGGGCAGCCCAGTACCTTCATTGCCTACAATGCAGGCTTGTCACGAAGGGCAGATGCAATCAGCTGTGTCCAGACAAGCTACAGGGAAAACAAATTGGAGGCAATCACCAGAGGGACAGCATGAAGATTAGGGGAAATCAGGAAAGGCTTCCTGGAGAAGGTGGGGTTTTAGCTGGGACTTGAAGGAAGCCAGGAGGCAGAGACTTCCACTGAAAATGCCCAGAGTCTGGAGATGGAACAAGGAAGCCAGTGTCACTGGATCATAGAGGAGCCTGGGAATGTTGGGAAGGATTGGAAGTACCAGAGCATTGTCGATTTGATCCTGGAGCTGCTGAGAAGTCACCACAGTTCATTGAATAAGGGAGTGACAGTTGAGGAAGACACTGACAGCTGAATGGAGAATGGACTGTGGTGGGGAAAGTGTGGAGAGAGTCAATAAGTGTGATGATGACGTCCAAAAGAAAAGACCAAAAAGGATTCCTGACACACTGGAAGATACACAGAGTTTCTCCACACTCCTTTCTCAAGCTTGCCATTATGCCCACACCCCTGGAGAAGGACTGGCATCACCTTGGCCTGAAATGCAGAAGCCCTACTGTACCCACTCCTGCTGGGCAGCCATGTTTGGGCCCAAAGGCTTTGGAGGGGGAAACCACCCCTCCATTGGTGTAGCTTCCTTTGAATCCATAGGCTAATGGCAGCTAGATTTGACTCTTGTAGCCAATGGTGTCCCCAATAAACCCAAAACATTCACACACACACACACACACACACACACACACACACACACACACACACGCACATGCACACACTACACAGAAGAGAGAAGGAAGTTCAGAAGGAGATACAGACAGGCGGGGCTGTGGTAAATATAGTGCTGTGAAATATAAAATACACTCAAAAAACCAAACTGTATAACAGAAGGTCACATGTACGTATACAACCCTATCTTCTGTTCTTGGTATGTTGAAACGTTGAGGTTAAATTCATAATAAAATGTAATTTTTTTAAAGTTTGTTTTTGTTTTTAACAAAGAATTTGGTTTTAGGAAGGCTGCATTAGAGAAGGGAGCACCTGGGGGCAGGCAGTGGTCCAGGCAGGAGCTAATGAGGCCCTGCACTGGGATGGGAGTGGAGAGATAGGGGGAGGAGGGCACTTGGATGTGAAGGAATGCCACAGAAGTCAACTGGACAAGATTTGGTGCCTGATTGGAAAACAGATAGAAGATTCAAGGATATTTGGAACCTGACTTTCTGGGACTGTGGTAACATCATCAACAGATATAGGGAAGTTTGGAAGGAGAGGTCCGAGGAAAAGATAATGAATTCCCTTTTGGACGTATTGACTTTGAGATGTCTGGTGTCCAGGTGGAGCTGTCCAGCAGGTCTTGGAGTTCAGGAGAGAGATGAAGCCTGTGTGTATAGATTTGGGAGATGGTAACTGAGAACTTGGTAGCAGATGAGATTCTAAGGGAGACACTAGCTCTTGAAACAGCAGAGACTTAGGGTGAGGGGGATGGGGTCACTGACCATTGGTGGGCAATGATCTGACAAAGGAGGATGAGGAAGAGCAATCAGAGGCAGAAGCAGGAGAGAGAAGCTAAGGGAAGAGAGAGTATCCAGAGCTGCGGAGAGAGGGAGTCCCCCCTCCCTCACAGGTAGGCAGAAGAATCAAGGGAAAGACTGTTTGCCAAGTGACTCATAGGCCTTGAAGCCTTGACCCTCCGCTGGGAATGTCAAGGATTTTTAATTTCTTTTTTCCTCTCTTTGCAGGTCCAGTTAAAAACAAGAAAAAGGGTAAGGTCACCTCGTTTGCTTTTCTTTCTGGTGTGTGTGGTTGAATGACTTTCTCCTGACAACCACTTAATAAGTAGAGTTTCCCAGTGTGGCCTCCTTGGCTTGGCCATCCTCCATGGCACTGAGATGCAGCCCATTGCAGTAGAGATTCCGTCCCGTCAGCAAGCACTCATAAGCATGTCCTACATTTCAGTCCCTGCACTTGTATCATTAAACTAGACTAACTCATGAGAAACCCAAGGGCCTTTCTGAAAATCTGCTCTTAAGCCAAGAGAAGCTGAGTGATTTCCTGGTGAGGGCCCACTCAAGGCAAGGCCCAAGGGGAGCAAGGCAGAGTCCATTCCCTTGTTGCCCATTTGCTCTTCACTCTTCTCAGGGGTTTTTCCTCTTCCTACAGTCAGGAAATAGGGCTGCCTGGAGCTCCTAACTGAGCTCCACTTATGCCCCTTGCTTCTTGGCCTCACAAACTTTCCCTCTTCTCCTTAGTCCCAAGAGGGACCTTTGAAGGTTATCTCATCCTAGAAACTCAGAATCTCCACAATGATCCCGAGCACTGTTTGTCCAGACTCTGCACTAAGACCTTCAGTGATGGTGAGCCCGCCACCTCCCATAACATCCTGTGCCACTTTGGGGCAGCTCCCACTGACCACAAGTCTGAATCTGCTCTTCTGTAACTCCCCCCACCTACTCCTAGTTCTCTGCCCACTGAGGCCAAGCAGAACAGGCCTGATCCTTCTTTTCCAGGTAGAGGGAATGCCCAGGAGGAGCAACCTGGCCAAGGTCAACTCCTTGCTGACCAAGTTAAAGGCTGAAGCCTTTGTTCTGGTCTTGCAAATGTCTCCTATCCCCCATTGGCACCACACCAGACATTCTTCTCTGGCACTGATGATGGCATGGGATGAGAGGGCCCCACAGGGGCCCTAGCTGTCTCCAAGGCCCTTCTCACTACTTCCTACTTCCTGAAGGCCTGAGCTAGGCTAGTAGCCATACAAGTAGTGAGAAAGGGATGGATGTGAGAGATGTTGTAGAAGTAGGATTGTCAAGACGTGGCAATGATTAGTCCTGTAGTTTTCCCAAATTTAGAAGTCATCCAAACCAGAAACGCAATGCTTGTCCCATTGGACGTCCCAAACGTTACCACAGTTCCGATCCTCACTTGTCTTTGACCCGCCAGCAGCTGAGTGTCCTTCTCCTTCTCTTGCCGCCCACTGAGTCTGGGCCCATTGCCATCTTGGAAAATTGTTCAAGTTGGTCCCTGTCTCTCAGTTCCACCCATTGAAATCCCCCCCCCTGACACCCCAGTACCTCTCAAGGCCTATAGGGTTTGAGAGATGGAAGGGACTGTGGAGTTCATCTAGTCCACTTGTTTTACAGATGAAGAAACTGAGGCTGAGAGAAATAAATCGACTTGCCCAAAGAGAGCTGGACTCCCAAACTGGGGTCTTGACTCCAAAGCCAACGCACTGAGCTCTCTGCTAAATCCTCTTCAGGTCATCAGGAGGCCCTGGGGGAGGGGCTGCTTTTCTGTGGCCTGGCCAGGCCCCCTGCCTCCAAGTGGAGCCCCAGCAGCTCCAGGCCACACCCATCTGCCCAAAGGCAAGCCCTCTCTGACAATGCTCCTGGGAGCACAACCTGAGGGGAGGGGCCCAGGCAGGCTGCTCTCCTGTCTAGGAAGGTTTTAGCTTGGTTTCTACAGCTTCCCCTCTCCTCCATGCCCCCCACAACTGCTGCTCTGTCTCTGGCCTCCTCCCGAGGTCAGCCCTGTCAGTACTGGAGACAATGCTCACCTACCACCCAAGCTGGGCACCTCATTCCTTCAGATGAGCCTTGTGTGGGGCATGAGCAGAACCATTAGAAGGCCTGAGATACTTGTGGAGAGTTATGTTCATAGAGCTTACAGCTTAGGCTAGGTTGACTGAAGGGGCAGAACATATAGGGGACTTGAGGGGAAGCCAGCTCCCCCCGGCTGCCTGAGGATTTGCAGGCCCACAAAGGGTGGCTGACCCCTGAGAAGCATGAAGGGCAGACAGCAGGCAGGCAGGGGCCACTCTGGGCTGCTGCCCCCCCCCCCCAGTGCAGCAGCCTCCTTGGCTAGCTTCCCACTTGTCATATTTCATCAAGCCCCTTCCTGGTCCTTATTTCATTAGAGACCTCAGCCACATGGCCCCCTTTCCCCATTAGCCAAACCTTGTGGGAATTTCTGCCTCATCATTCATTGCTGTCTGCCTCTCCCAAGCCTTCAAGAAGCCTACAGGTAGCAGCCAGCAAAGGCCCGAGGAGGGCAGCCTCTTCTAAGGCCACCTCTGGTTAGCCTCCAAGGACTTGGGTAGAGGGGAAAGGGGAGGAGCAGGGGAGCGAGAGACCCAGAGCTCATGGCAAGCTTCTCATAGGTCTGCCAATTCATGGGGTCATTGGATTGAGAGCTCTCCCCTTCCATGTCTCATAGGAACCTAAGGCTCTCAGAGCAGAAGTAACAGATTCTGGGCCTGGGGAGGGAGGAGAAGACGTCAACCAAGTTTGTTCTTTGGGGCCCCCAAAGATGGTCTGATAATCTGATGTTGCATCTTGGTTTTGTTTTGTTTTCTCAGGAAAAAAGGCCGGACCTCCTGGGCCAAATGGTCCCCCAGGCCCCCCTGGGCCTCCAGGCCCCCAAGGACCTCCAGGAATCCCCGGAATCCCTGGCATTCCTGGGACAACAGTCATGGGACCCCCTGGCCCTCCTGGTCCCCCTGGGCCTCAAGGCCCCCCTGGGTTGCAAGGCCCCTCAGGTGAGTGCCTCTGTCTCCCCACCCTGTGGCCAGAAGACCTTTGTAAGTACCTCCAAGTTTGTGAGGATGCAGGAGGCTCTAGCCCTTTGGTCAGGTTGGGGTATTTTGTGGGGAGGGGGGAATAGCTGCCTGACCCTGTGGGCTAAAAGGGCACATCTTGTCACCTCTACTTTTTGCCCCTCTATTACAAGCCTCCCAGTAGATAAATGGACCCCCAGCTTTTGAGTCCCAAATGATGATATGACTTCTACATAAAGCTGCAAGGGATCTTAGAATCCAGGGGAAGTAATGTCATACCTGGGAGGGGCCTTAGAACAGGGGATTGCAGAGCTGGAACATATATTGGAGACTGTATCCAGAGCGTTTTGGTCCATGAGAATTTCAGCTTCTTGGTCAGCCCCTGAGAAGTTGGCTCTTGTTGAACACCTGCTCAGGGATGGTCCGGGAATCTGAACCAAGAGTCCTCCTCATTGGAGGAGGAGCAAGGCCAGGCCTCAGAGCAAGAATCCCCACAAGAATCTCTCTTGTGCTCTGGTCTACCCTGTAACCCCTGGGCCCTCCCCCTGGTGGCTGAGGGTGTGGCCAAGAGGCCCCAGTGTGAATGAAGGCTAAGGGGAGACCCTGGGCTGGGCTGGTTGGAAATGCCTTCTGTCCCCAGCCTTCCCCATCTAGCCCAAAGTCTGTGAAATATGGGATCTTGAGTGTCCTGGGAACTGAGCCCCATGAATGTGACGCAGGGATAAGTAATGGTAGTCAAAGCAAGTAGCATTGTCATTTTATGATCAAGGAAACTGAGGCCCAGGAGAGGGTCAATGACTTGTCCAAAGTCATCCAGCTAATAAGTGACAGAGCTAGGACTCAAACCTCAGCCACTGACCAAGGTGTGACCATTGAGACTTCTGGCCCTCGGAGCTGAAGACGCCCATCCACGCACACCCCCAGGCAGCTCCAGCCCTGTGTCCTTAGTGAAGGGCCAGTTGGGGCCTGGAAGGAGGGGGAGCTCTCCGACCAGGGAGCTGCAGCTGAATCCAATCTCTGGAAGAAGGAAGGCAGATTGGCAGTGCCCCCCCACGAGGGCCCAAGCCAGCCAGCCTCTCATGTGCTACCAGCCTGAAGCCCTGCTACTCTCTTACAGGTGCAACCGACAAGGCTGGCACTCGAGAGATCCAGGTGAGTCCGAGGCGGGCAAAAACGGGGGCTGCTTCTGGCTTGGCCACTTGCTGGGCTGCTAACCCTAACCCTAACCCTCATGTTTCCCTCCCAATGAGGATGTGGGCTCAGAGATAGAAAGGCACTTGCCAGTGTCTTCTTCTGACTCCAGTGCTATCCGTGCCATGCCAACCATGCCAGTCTGTGAGTAGCAGCAGCTTTGGGGGCCACAGGAACAGAACCTATTTCTCCAGGCCCCACCTCAAGTGTAGCAGTGTGCTTTCCCTTGCTCTTCAGCAGGTGGGCGCAGCCATGGTGCCCCCATCCTAAGGCCTCCAGCCCTTCCCCACAGCACCTGGGCTTCAACAATGCAGTTCTCTTCCCTTCTTTCCCTGAGCTTCTTGATTCCCATGTCAGCATCTCCTTGGCCTCCCTCTGGGCCAGAGGGAGGGGGCTGGAGTGAAAGTGCAGAAGGCCAGCCCATCAGCTCTCAGCGCCTGCTCTCCACCCTTCTCTCCCCTGCAGCCAGCTGTGGTGCATCTCCAAGGCCAAGGCTCCGCCATCCAGGTGAAGAATGGTAAGAATCCCAGGAGGAGCTCTGTGTGAGCCCAGCTCTCCCTCCCTTATTCCCTCCGCCCTCTCCCCACCCCATCCAAGGGAAAGTGGGGCTGCAATCCCTCAAGTACCTGCTCTTGCTCCAAACCATCAGCCAGAGACCTTCACAAACACACAACCTGCAGAGAAAAACACATGATGTTAGAGCTGGAGGGACCACATGGCACAGAGAAGGAAACTTGAGGCACCTATAAAAGACCCCATCTTCTCCCCTAAGGAACCCAGATGGCCCCAGCTGCCCCACTTTGGGGGCTGCCTTCCCAAGAACTCATCCCCATCTGGCCTCGTCTGACTTTCCTTATATACTTGGGACAACATCCCGGGCACAAGGATTCTGATCTGCCTTGACACATGAGAACTTGGAGCCCTAAGGCTCCAAGACATAAAGGGACTTGTCCAAGGTCACACAATCAGGAAGGGACAGAGCCAGGTCCAAGTCTCCTGAGTCTAAGCCTACTGCGACAGGCTGCCCATATCCTGGAGATGCCACATCACCCATGGGAGCCCAGGCTGGGATGGAGGTGGGGTGCAGAGAGCATTTCCAGGGCCTGTGTGCTCATGTATGTCAATCAGTCAATAAGCATTGATTAAGCACCTACTATATGCCAGGTACACAAGTTTGTAAAAAAGACTGGGTGAGTGTGAGCGGATGTATTTGCGGTTTGCCAGCCCAACTCATAGCTCTGGAAATGGAAGTCAATACACCAAGCTCAGCGGCCACCCCTGTCCGGACCGTGGCTCCGACACCTGCCCTGGGCCATCATCTGGCAGACAGCAGAGCTCTGTTTGGGCGTCTGGGCCACACCCCGAAGGAACGTTAGGTGGCCACACACACCCCTCCCCCGCCACCAGCCTACCCCTGGTAGTGTGACCTCCCTCTTCCTGGGGGCTCAGCCAGAGCCAGAAGCAAGGGGATCAGGGCCCCCTGGAGGGAGGCTGGGTCACTGATTCCCCTCTTAGCCCCAGTGCCTGACTCATCCATGCCTGAGGAGTAAGGCGGGGGGAACAGGCCCTTCCTCTGCTACCTCCACATTGAGTGTCTAGCCCCAGGTGGGGGTGGGGGGAAAGGAAGAGGGGGAGATGGGGGCAATCTCTCAGAGGTGCCAGCTCCTCAACTCCCAGAGCATACTGGGCAATCTCCTGCAAATGCTTCATGCCTGCTCTGGTCTAGGCCCCATGCTGGGCCTTGGAATTGGTCTTCAGCCCTAGCTGTGGCTACTCCAGTCCCCCAGCAGATTAGGCAATGAGGCCCCCCTAGAGGACTCTCTCACAGCTGCTCCCACAAAAACAGATGGTAGAATCCCTGAACAAACATATTCCCTCTGCCAAGGGTACTCGGGGAGTAGCTTGGGTGGCCATGCTTTGGGAAAAGATGCTCTGTGGTCTGATGCCCCTGGGGAGGAGGAGTCTAAGGATTTTCCCATCTGCCTGTGACATCTTATTTGAAATGATAGTGGCCTGGGGAGAAGGAAGGAGCAGAGATGATCCCTAGGAGAATAGAGAAGGGAGAAGCTTGGAAAGTTGTAGGATGCGGTAGCAGCTTTCAAGCTGGGGTGCCAGGAAACAGGCCTGAGCTTACCCGTGGGAGAACACAAGTGAGTTTAATGGGTGCCTGTGGTCCCCACAGTTCCACGAACTCATAGGCAAAAGAAGGGCCAGAGGAAAGAGCCAAATACTCTCACTCCTCACCTTTGTGTCCTGAGCATCCTTCAGGTCTCAGCCAAAATTCCACCTTCCTCAGGAAGCCTTTCCCAGCCCCACCCCCCCAGGCCCTCCCTGAATTCTGAGGCCTTTCCAGCCCCCCAGGCCCTCCCTGAATTCTGAGGCCTTTCCAAGCCCCCCAGGCCCACCCTGAATTCTAAGGCCCTTCCCAGGCCCCCCAGGCCCTCCCTGAATTCTGAGGCCTTTCCCAGCCCCCCCATCTCTAATGCCTGCCCGAATTTTGAGCTCATCTTCCATCCACAAACAGCTCTCTCTTTACTTAAGTGACAATTTGTCCGTAATGTGAATTTGCCCCTGGCCACCCACTTCACTTAGCTTCTATAACAAAGGCACACACCAAATAATACCTTTACACAAGTCATCGGTGCAGACACATGCAATACTGTGCCATGATAATAGAATTAGAGTTTGTCCTTCCCGACATCCCCATCACTTAGCCCAGTCTTGACACATACGATAAGTGCTTAATGAATACTTGTGGACCAACTGGCTGACTTGGGAAAGCACAGGGGGAAGAGGGTTACCAAGTTAAGGGTGAATCCTGGTTTTTGTGTGGCCTAGACAAGGCATTTCAATTCTACAGGCCTCAGTTTCCTCATCTGTAAAATGGGGAGGGGTTAGAGATTAGACTAGATGATCTTTTTTTTTTTTTTGCTTTTTGGCTAGGCAATGGGGTTAAGTGACTTGCCCAGGGTCACACAGCTAGTAAGTGTTATGTGTCTGAGGCCAGATTTGAACTCAGGTCCTCCTGACTCCAGGGCCGGTGCTCTAGCCACTGCACCACCTCGCTGCCCCATGGATTAAATGATCTTTAGGGCCTCATCTGGTTCTAGCTCTAGGAACCTATGGAAACACACACACACTCACACTCACACATACATATACCCCAAGATAAAGAAGACCTAAGTCTCAGATCCCATCCTTAGATAGGAAGTCACAAAAGTAACAGAATCCCAGAGCAGGACCTTCCAGATCATCCACTTCAGCCCCCTTGTTTTTATAGGCCCCCCGAGAGGGGCCATGGCTGGGGCCTGCCCAATGTCACTCAACTCCCACATGGTCACATGCTAAGTCTTAGTGCTGAGAAAATGGCTGAGGCCAAAGGCCTGGTCTAACACATCGGAACTTGGCCTCATCCCCCATGGCCTTGGAGAGCCTCCAAACAAGTGATCCCGCTGCCACTCTAGAAGCAACGCCCTTCCCCAGTGGGCCGGGCTGGACTCAGCTTGCTCTTTCAGGGAGGGGGGAGTTGGGGGAGAGAATGGCAGTGTTGGGTTCTGGGTTCGTGCTGTTTTTCTGACATGTACTGAGTGACTACCATTCTCTCATACTGAGATCTTTCAGGTGGAGTGCTCAATGACTGGTCTCGAATCACCATGAACCCCAAGGTGTTTAAACTGCACCCCCGCAGCGGGGAGCTGGAGGTACTGGTGGACGGCACCTACTTCATCTATAGTCAGGTAGAAGTGAGTACGGTCTTAGGCCCAACTCCTTTCCTAGATGCAGAATGCAGATCCCACACCAACCACAGAGGGGCACTGTGGAGCCAGCCAAGGCAGGCGATGGCGGAATCCTTGGGCTTTGAAGGAAACTTAACTGGGATTGGGGAGGGGAGGTGGTGTTATTTGAGGGGAGGAAGGAACTAAAGAGAAGAGGGACTTCGTGATTTCTATAGATGGTCTGAAGGCAGCCATCACAGTGATGGCCACACAGGCCCCTCTGCCATTCAGCCCATGGAACCCCACGGTGGGGCCCTCATCGCTCCTCTCAAGCTTCTCCCGGAGCTGGGGTGGGTGGGTAGATGGGTGTGTATGTGTGTGTGCATGCACCAGTGTACGTGTGTGTGTGTGTGTGTGTGTGTATATGTGTATGTGTGTGCATTTGTGTGTGCACATAATGGCCTAAGTCTGTGGCCTGGCACCGTGAGGCTAGTGCTCCTGGAGGAGCTCTAGGGCCTCTAAGACCTCATGGGCAATGCAGGTGGTAGATCAGTGGCATCCCCATGGTGTGTTTGTGGAGACTCCCCCTTCACCAGCTGCTCTGCCTCAGTATGCCCATGTGATAGACTGACAAATATGTGGCTGCCATGTGCCAGCCAGGCCTAGACACAGAGCAGTGAGTGTGGTGGCCCAGAAAATGAGGCCCGTGTCCAGTGTGCCCATCTGTCCTACCAGCTCAGCCTTGGGCCTCTCTGAAGACCACTCGGGGGCTGGGATAGTGCAGGCAGATGCACTGGGGCCCCACAGTGGCATCTATGGCCCCTTCTGGCCACTTTCTACCCCTTTCCTCAATGGGTCTATCTCCCCTCCTTTTCTCTCCCCCACTCCCCCACTCCTCCTCTCCCTCTCTCTCTCTCTGTCTCTCTTCTCCTCTCCCTTTCCCCCTCTCATTTAAGCCCCTCTTTCTTTCTTTGCCTATGCCTCAGGCACACTGGGCCCTGGCAGGCATCTCCATTAGGGAAGGTGACAGAGCCTAAAACTCGGGCCTTCTCTAAGGTGTCAGGCCGAGAGTCGGCCAGACCAGCTGAGGGATGAGGAGCCCGGCCATTAACAAGACTGACCCAACTGGTCTCAGGTGTCCATTGTTAGTTCAGAACCTGATCCCCTACCATGGGACTCCTGGAATCTCAGGCTTGAGAGGGACTGCAGAGGGTACCTAGTCCAAACCGGCATCACCTTTGGCAACATCCTCAGCTGCCCTTCCTCACCCCTAGCCTTTCACTTCTGGGCCTGCTCGCAGGACTTGAGCAGAGCCAGCTCCGCCTCTCTGCCACACGATAGCCCTTGGCCACCTGCAGTGCATCCCTCTGGGTCAAGGGCATGTGTCTCAACTGGACCCATGGAAAAGGGCAAATGCACATTATCTCAGCTGCCTGGCCACTAAGGTCATGGATTTGTACTTTTTTTCAGGGCCTGAGGCTGAGCCAGGAAGTAAGCAAATAGCCTCTGTTGCTGAACCCCACAGCCTCTACTATAGCAGACCACCAGGAAGCAGAGACAGACAGACAGACAGAAAGAAAGAAAGAAAGAAAGAAAGAAAGAAAGAAAGAAAGAAAGAAAGAAAGAAAGAACGAGAAGAGAGGAGCAGAGGGGGACAGAGGGAGGGAGAAAGGAAGAAGATAGGAAAATTCATCTCAATGCTCTAGGATGAAGAGCCTGGCCTTCATATTTCCTTGCCTGGTTGATTGTCTGGCCCTACTCCCCTTTCCTAAAATCAGCATATAAGAGCTGCCCTTGTGTGTTCTGCACTGCCAGGACTAAGTAGAGAATACCCGAGGCAAATCCAAGGGGCCTCTCGAGGACCTTATGGGGCTGCCCAAATCCCCAGCTGGCCTTATGTGAACTTCCTGCCCAACCACACCTGGCCACTGTCCAGGACTCCCCTTGATGAAAGGAAGCTTGCAGGCTTCTTCAGTTTCAGTAATCATCAGGGCTGGACAAAGGAACCTGGGAGATTATCCAGTTCAACTCTGTCATTTTGCAGATAAGGAAACTGAGGCCCAGAGATGAGAAGTGACTTCCCCAAGATCACACAGCAAGTCAGTGGCAGAACCAGGACTTGAACCCTGGTCTCCTGCCCTCTGCCCCAGAAGTCTTTCCCCTCAGCCTGGTCCTCAGAAGCCTTGGGGTAGCCAGCCCAGCCTTCATCCTGGCCTTCAAGAGCCTTGGTGTGGTCTGGCCTGGTCTTCAGAAGCCTTGGAACAGCCTGGCCTGGGCCTCAGAAGCCTTGGAACAGCCTGACCTGGGCCCCAGAAGCCTTGGGGCGACCTGGCCTGGGCCTCAGAAGCCTTGGGGTGGCCTGGGCCTCAGAAGCCTTGGGGCAACCTGGCCTGGGCCTCAGGAACCTTGGGGTGGCCTGGGCCTCAGAAGCCTTGGGGCAGCCTGGCCTGGGCCTCAGAAGCCTTGGGGCGGCCTGGCCTGGGCCTCAGGAACCTTGGGGTGTCCTGGGCCTCAGAAGCCTTGGGGCGGCCTGGCCTGGGCCTCAGAAGCCTTGGGGCGGCCTGGTTCTCAGAAGCCTTGGGATGGCTGGGCCTAGCCTGGCCCTCAGCCTGGCAGGGGCTGGTCCTCCCTCCAGGGAGCTGCCTGCGCAGCCCTCCCCCCGTCTCACCCCTTCTTGTCCCCTCTCCCTCCAGGTTTACTACATCAACTTCACGGACTTTGCCAGCTATGAGGTGGTGGTGGATGAGAAGCCTTTCTTACAGTGTACCCGGAGCATTGAGACGGGAAAGACCAACTATAACACGTGCTACACAGCAGGCGTGTGCCTCCTCAGGGCCCACCAGAAGATTGCTGTCAAGATGGTGCACGCTGACATCTCCATCAACATGAGCAAGCATAGCACGTTCTTTGGGGCCATCCGACTAGGCGAGGCCCCTGCTTCCTAGACTCTCCTCGGCTGGGAGGCCAGGACACCTGGGGCCGCCCCACCATTGCACAGTTTGGATGGAGATGTAGGCATCTTCCAGCCAAGGAGAGACAGAGGAGAGAGTGAGGAAGCCAGCCGCTCATGGTCTATTTATCCCCTAACTAGTGGCTTTTGGGCAAGCCGGCTTGCTGGGACCCAGGGGAGGCAGTGGGAGGGCCAAGCCAGTCTTTGGAGACTCAGCACCACTGGGCTCAGGATGAGGGGTGGCCCACAGGCCTGTAGCCTTCAGAACTCTGACACACCAGCTCTGTGGCAGCAGGCACTTCAGGGCAAGAACTGACAGAGGCAGGAACCAAGGAGGGAGCTGCCAAAGAGGCCCTCAGTTCAAATCCTCACCCTCAGGGCCCTTGGGCACCAGCATGAGTAAATGTAGCATTCTGAGTTCGGAGCCTGCCTCCACCACTTCCTAAGTCTCTTCCTCAGCATCTCTGGGCCTCACCTGAGCTGGGTGACCTCCACAGTCCCTTCCAGCTCTGACTTCACCTTCCTGTCTGCAACATGGGGGCCTTGGACTAGATGACTTTCCATCTGAACCTCTGCTGCTGGGCTCACCTTAAGTGATACAGTGTGAAGGGACAGAAGGGGGCAGGGGGGAGGGGCAGAACAAGCCCACAATGGGGCTCTTGCTATGGGCTGATGGCTGCCCTGGCTGCTCGGCTCTGACAGCCTGCGGGCCTCTTCGAGGCTACCTGCTTGGACTGAGAGGAGGCCCTCCCTTGGTTTCCAGCTTCTATCCTCAAATTTGCCCTGTCGCTGCCACGCCCCTTCCCCCTTCCCCCCTCCCCTCCCTGCATGCTGTAGGCTGGGCTCAGAAAACAGGACTGTGGCCTTCTCCCCTGTTTCCAGGGCCATCCTCAGCTCTCAGTAAATTCCTGAGATTGGGCCATGTGCCCCCTCCACACACACCCAGAATCTATACTCATCCCAGGCTGGCTATGGCTTCCATTCTCCCCACCAGAGAGCTCCTAGTCTAAGACCGAGAGCTTTTTCCATTTGATGTGACTACGCACAAAAGGCTTTCATTCTGCTTGTAGGATCGTGCCCACTGGCAGGGGATTGGACCAGATGACTTCTGGTCATCCCTTCAAGGTCAAGGATTCCAGAGGCTAAACCTTAGTTGTGTGAACTAACCCAGAAGGGTCTATTAACTCCTCCCTGCCTCAGAGCTCCAGGGGATGCCAAACAGTGGGAGTGCCAGCTGACCAAGGAAGAAAGGGTGAGATGTGGCTGAAGATTCCCCCTTCCCCGTGAGGCTCAGGCCACCAAGGGAGTCCACGATCTATGCTGGAGATTGGCTTGGTCTCCAGCTCCCAGAAGGCCTCTGGACTGAGCATCACCTAGGCAACTCGATATAGGCAGTACAGTAGGGACACCTAAGTGGGAGCCAATGGAAAGGGTGCTGGCCCTGGATTCGAATCGTGCTTCTGCTGCTTTCTACAAATGGGACCTTGGCCAAGTTGCTTTGCCTCCCAAGGACTGCAGTTCGCTCAGCTGGTTTCAGGACTCATAGCAGTCTTCCTTGCAAATGGACTTTGAGGAAGCTCCAGGATGGATTTAGAACTAGTCGTCTGCTGGTTCCAAGGAGGCCACTCTTGCTCAGCACCAATCACTCCCTAAGTTACTTAGCCTGGTCCAAGGCAAAGCCCTATCAATAGGTTGGGGCAGACCAAGGCCGCTAGTAAGGACAGATGCTTTCATTTCTTGAGGGGCTGCTGGGCAGTGAGAGCCACAGAGCTTGTGTATCCCCATGGCCAAGTGGCAAGAGGGGCCTGGGCTTCCACTCTGTGGCATCTGCTAGTGACAGCCTTTGGACCTAAGGCCCTGCAGGCACCAACCCAGTGTGGGCCTCCCACCTCCTAGAAAGCTCACTGCTGGTGATCTTTTGGACAGCCAGACACAGAAGAGCTTGCCATTCCCTAGCTCAGGCAGCCAAGTGGGACTCCCAAATGGACAGTCCACAGGAGAAAGGCAAGCCTACTGAAGGAATCCAGAGCCCTGACGTGTCCAACTCTTGCAGCACTGGCCAGCCTGGTAGCTGCTGGGGCTTCTGTACTGAAAGAAAAGGTCCATTAACCTTCAGACCCCTATGTCCACTTGGTGTTGTGTCAAACAGGGCTGCCGGTCCCCCCTGCTAACTTATCACACTAACTGAATCAGTGTCTACCTCCTGAGGGCTATGAGGGAGGTGCAGGACCTAGGGGCCCCACTGGCAAGAGCCTGATGCCCAAGGAGAGACAGAGGAGAAGTGGATATGACACTGGAAAGTACCTTGGAGAGCTCCAGATCCTCTGAACTAAAAGACCTTCTTAAGAAAGACCAACTCTAGAAGCTGGCAGAGCAGGAGTGAGACAGGAGGAAAGGGAAAGGGCTCCCATCCCTGCCTCTCAGCCCAAACTGTGGGGCACTACATGGGGTTAGGTGCCCCAGGCAACTTCTCTCAGTCCCTTCCCAAAGAGAACCTGAGAGCTGGGGGGGTCTTTGCTCTTTCCAACATGGATGGGGCCGCTGTGGTTGCTGCAGAAGAGGCCTGTGGCTGTGTTTGGAAGTGTTTTGAAGTCACTTTGCAGTCAAAAGAATGGGGAAGAGTTGGAAGTGTGCCTCACTGACCTTCATTTTTCTTTCCCTGAGGGCTGGAAGACTAGAAGAAAGATTTGAATCCCTGCCCTGCCCCCTCCAAGGGTGCTGAGGGCCTTTCTCTTTCATGTCATGGCCACTAATGCAAGAAATAGGATGTGGCTTGTCCATTTGGCCAATGGAGGCTTTGGCTCACTCAGTCCCAACAGCAAAGCCCCCAGGACACCCTGACTCAGACCCTACAACAGCCCCAGCTCCTGCCATGGTCCTCTGTTGGATCCTTATGGTCAATTCCAATCAATCTGGCAGACATTTTTGAATGTCATTACTATGTGCCATGCCCCAGGATCTAACAACAAGCTAAAGCCCAAGCAGCCTTTGTATGTCCGGCCCTTGGTGACTGTGGAGCTGGGGGGGGGGGGGTGTGCCCTAGCTACACACTGAGAAGAAAGTTAAAATAGCCTCATTGGGACTTTCCGTTCTCCTTGAGGATTCTGCCTTTATTACCATCTGGGTCTTGGTTCTATGGGCCATATTATAGTCACCATATAGGTTTTATTTAACCCATTTGAATAAATCTGCTATTGAACCAAAGCGAGATGTAACTGACCTCCTTGTGGGTCCCACCAGTCTCAGCTTTATGCAAGTGAAGAGGTCAGCTGAGCAGCCGCCCCCCCCCCACCTTTGCCCTGAGCTTCCTGCTTCCAGTTGGAAAGCATGGAGAGCCCCACCAGAGACACTAGCACCTGGAGGCCCCTGGGGGGACAAAAGGGCAAAGGTCCTCTAGACTGAATGCTTTCTGGAGGGTACTCTGACTAGTGCTGGTCTTCCAGCCTGCGGGGCTCAGGAGGGAATGCAGGGGGATGGCCCGTGGTCCAAGGTCCTGTCACAGTCACTGGACTCTACTTCCCCAACACCCACCTGGTGACACAGGCCAAAAGGAGCATCCCCTACCTTCTGAAGTCTTCCTGCTCCCCAAGTTTTGTATCGAGCTCAGAGCAGAGGTGCTGGTGTGAGCTGAGGGCTGGGAGCCCCAGTGCAAGGCTGTATGAAAGAGCTTGGGATGGTAGGGGTGCCAGCTGAGCCTGAGCTGCTCCCAATCCAGGAGCCAGGACAGGCTTCCATCCTCTGCAGGAGGCTGGAGGCCCAAATGGGCCGCCTCTCCTCTAGGTCTCTACACTCTGCTCTTAGAGCCCCATTGAGTCCCTCCGAGAAGGGCTGGGGCAGCCAGCACCTCTTACTTGGATAGGATATTTCTGTGACTCAGTGCAGGTGGGCCAAGCAGGCCCAAGAGATGCCTAGTGTGGGAGCATAGGCCTGCTGTGGCTTGGTGGAGCTGCTCTGTGTATATCACGTATATATACTGTATATATAAGCCAGGTTGTAAGTTTGTGTAAATGAATGGTTTGTTCTTGGCCAATAAAAGCATTTCCCCCCATGACAGGCTGGACTTGTTTGCAAAGTGCTGGCCCCTGATCCCACCAACCAGAGAGCCCCTGCTCTGTGAAAAGTACAAGGTCCCCACCCTGTGAGGGAAGGAGAGAACCGAGTTACCCCCAAGCCACCAAGGTCCAAAGAACAAGGTGTCCCTGGGCCAACACCCTCCCCTTTCCCCCACCTTTTCTCAGAGCTGCATACCTTGCATCACCCCTAAGGCAAGGTCAGGGCCCAGGCCTAAGCAACATGTAAATGGGCCTTTTTCCCAAGCAGTGGGATAATGAGTCTACCCACCAGCTGAGCTCAGGGATCTCAGTATTCATAACTGGGGTCTGAGGCCCCAAGAGCCCCTTCTCAGGCTCCTCGTGGGGCTTTTGGGCAGCCGGTTCCATGGTCTCGATAGTTCCACAGAGAGTCCAGATGACAAAGAGATACCCAGGATGCTGAAAGGCTCTAGGCACTCATGTCTTCCCCTCCGTGTACTAGCAGAAGAGGTGGAATAAAAGCACTGACCAGCAGGGTTTCTGCAGCTGAGCCCTGGTCACAGAGCTGAAGCTCTACTCTGTATAGGAAGTGAGCATCCATGGGAAATTTGATGACTCTTTAAACACCTGCCCTCCAGAAGCTCAGGAAAATTTACCCTGCGAGACAAAAAGGAGTTAAGCAGAGGCCGAATGAGCCGCTTGCCTTGGTCTCGTTGATGGGCCCAGGAGAGGCCGACACCCATTCAACTAACAGACGTGTTGTAGTGAAATTACCAGGCCTCAAGGCCTTTTTTTTATTATTCATTTTGAACTTAAATACAGAAAGATAAAAAGAGAGGACATGTACACAGCACAACATAAAAAGAGGATTCTCTAAAACCATAAATTTACATTTCACACTGTTCACTTCTTTGGGAGAAACTGAGTATTACACATCGTTTTCAAAGCTCCTCTGCCTTCCATGCTTCCTTCGAAAGTTTCTTCTGTTCTCCGCTGTGCGCTTTTTCTATTTTTTCCCCTCCCACCCCACCCTGCCCCGCCCTAAAGATGGCTGCCATTAGACACAAATATGTGTGTGTGCTTGTGTGTGTGTGTGTGTGTATGTAAAACCATGCTATACATACTTCCATTTATGAGCTCTTTGTCTGAAAGCCGATAGCATCTTTCTTCACAGGTCCTTTGTAGTTGATCTAAGAATTTATAAGACTCAAATTGCCTTAGTCACTCAAAGTGTTCTTAAAACAATATTGCTTTAAGAGAGCATGGAATAGTTTATCTGTCAGATTTATGGATAAGGGAAGAATTTATAGCCAAAGAAGATATGGAGAGCATTACAAAATGTAAATTAGATCATTTTGATTATATAAAATTAAAAAGGTTTTGCACAAACAAAACCAATGCCACCAAAATTACTGGGGAAAAAAGTTTGTAACAAGCATCTCTTGATAAAGGCCTCATTTCTCAAATATATAAAAAACTGAGTCAAATTTATAAGAGTATAGGTCATTCCCCAATTGAGAAATGATCAAAGGATATGAACAGGCAGTTTTCAAAGAAATCAAAGCTATCTATAGTCATACGAAAAAGTTCTCTAAATCACTATTGATCAGAGAAATGCAAATTAAAACAACTCTAAGGTACCATCTCACACCTATCAGAGTGGCTGACGTGACAAAAAAAGGAAAATGTTCAATATTGGAGGAGATGTGGGAAAATTGGAACACGAATGCATTGTTGGTGGAGTTGTGAACTAATCCAACAATTCTGCAGCGCACTTTGGAAGTATACCCAAAGGGCTATAAAAATGTGCATACCCTTTGATCCAGCAATAGCACCTTGAGGGCTTTATCCCAAAGACATCCAAAAAAGGGGAAAGGGACCCACAGGTACAAAACTATTTACAGCAGCTCTTCTTGTGGTGGCTAAGAATTGGAAATCAAAGGGATGCCTATCAATTGGGGAAGGGCTTAACAAGCTGTGGTATGTGATTGTGATAGAATAGGATTGTGCTATAAGAAATGACAAACAGCATGATTTCACAAAAACCTGGAAAGTCTGACATGAACTGGTGCACAGTGAGGTGAACAGAACCAGGAGAACGTTGTACACAGTAACAGCCGCATTGTTTGATGAAGAGCTGTGAAGGACTTAGCTCTTCTCAGCAATGCAATGATCTAAGACAATCCCAAAGGACTCGTGAAGCTTGCTATCTACCTCCAGAGAAAGAACTGATATTGATTGGATGCAGTCTGAAGCACGCTACTTCTCACTTTCGGGGTTTTTTTTCTTTTGTTCAACTCTTCTTGTACAAAATGACTAAGATGGAAATATTTTACATTTAAAAATACAATGGTTGTATTATTTTTAAAAAAAACCTATTGCTGTTACTGTATACAACGTTCTCTTGATTCTGCTCGTTTCACTCTTGATTATTTCATGCCTCAGATCCTTAAGAATTCGGTGAAATGGCGGCCATGTCCCCCAGCATCCAACAGACTCATTTCTGTACTAGGGAAGCTGACAAAATCGAGAATAAAGGGAAAGGAAACCAGAAGAAATGTGAGTTCAATCTAACGGGTTCCTGGAAGGGAAAGTCGGCTTGGCCTATCTGCTAGACTGCCCCCTCCCAACTTCCCTATCTGGGGGAACTGTGCAGCTGGACCACACTCCCAGTTTACCTAGGTTCAAACTTTGGGTGTCATATTTAACTCATCTTTCTCACTCCCCCTGTCTTGTCCATTGCATCTGCACAGTCTCTCTCCTAGCCATCCCCTCATGTCCACTGCCACGGTGCCTCCAAAGTCCAGGCTCTCACTGCCTCTGTTATGGCCTCCTCCGTGGGCTCCCAGCCTCCAATCTGCCCTCCATGATTCTACCACATACCATGCTGCTGCACTGCTCAAAAAACTTTGGGGACTTCCCATGTCCCCAAGATCAAAAAAATAATTAGCCTGGCATTCTAGGCCCTGGGCACTCTGGCACTGACCTAACACCTTCTAGCACTCCCTTTCATGAATGTAAGGCTGTAACCCAACTAGACCCCAGTTTCCCACCTCCGTGCCTTTGCATATGCTTCACCACATCTCTGAAACAGAGCTCCACATCCCCACTTACTAAAATCCTTTCCCTTCCTTCAAGACCCAGCTTGGGTACCACCTTCTCTCGGAGGCCTTCTCTGACCTCTGACCTCCACCCCTCCACCAAGGTAGAGGAGATCATAACCTACCTCTCCAGCCTCCCTTTTTTTATTCTAATGTCTAATACAGTTAATTTTGTGTGCTTCTCACATCCTTGAGGTCAGAGACTGTGTCATAGAATCTCAGAGTTCAAAGAGTCGTCAGGCAGGCAGCCAAAGAAAAAATCCCCAAGAAGAGGTCAGCCTTTGCTTGAAGAACTTTGGCGAAGGGAGACCCACCGCCTCCCAAGGCATAACCCACCCTGCTTTGGACGAGCTCACATCCAGTCATATCTGTCTCTCTGCTCCTAGGTTTGTCCTTTGGGATCAAACAGAATGAGTCTTTTCTCTCTTCCACTTGATGGCATTTCTAACAGAGCCTGATGGGGCTTTACAAATAGGAAGCACTTTTAATAGGTATTTGAAGACAGGAATCATCACATTTTTTTCATCGTGGTATATCCTCAGCATTCAGCACAGGTGCCCTGCAATAGGTGCCTAATAAATGTCAACAGCATTCAATGCAATGGAAGATGAGATGTTTTTGAGGGGGAAACCATGTGAGGGAAATCACGTGAAGGAAAGCCATGGGCGTAATTATTATTGATTTTCAGGGGGCCTTGCTAAGCTTCTAGACTCACCACACTTCCTCTCCCTCTTCAATCCTTTGCCTTCTGGCTTTAGACAGTCAATCAATAAACATTTATTAAGCACCTACTGTGTACCAGGCACTGTGCTAAGCACTAGGGATACCAAAAGAGGCAAAAGACAATCTCTGTCCTCAATGAGCTTACAAGCAGTACTCTGCTGAAACTGCTCCCTCTAAGGTCCCCAACGATGTCACCAAATCACAGGGAACTAAGCAGCCAGGAGATAGCTGGAAACTCCTACCCAGGTGTCTAATTAGATTGAATTATAGAATCAGATTTCTGCTCGTGGGATGCAGTTTGCTTTAGGACAGAGTACAAACACCCAACATAAACAAAGGCCCACCTCGTCCCCCAGCCTGACAAACAGGTATGGCCACAAGGGTTAATCAAGAGAGGGACTAGAAAGGAAGAGCTAAAGCCCTGAGGATCTCCCTTCAAGCAAGGACAGAAGGCAAGCCAGAAGTGTCGGCACTTGGCAGTGTGCAATGTTGATGTTTCTACTGATACCAAGCACAACCCAAGAACAGCCAAGTACACTCAGAGTGCAAGTTGGTCTCTCTCGTAGGGGAGAAAGTGAAAGGACTAGAAGACTGTCTCTACTGTCCAGTGTTCCTTTATTGGAAGAAATACTTCAAGTGAAAAACAGGAAAATTATGTGAATGGAGGCAGAGGGGAATCCTAACCCGGGCCAGGAAGTTGGGGGGCAGAAGGATGTGACACAGTGAAGGAAGGGGAAAAAAACACTGGCCATAGGGGCAAAGGATACCACCACAAGGCATCTAGAAAGCCTTGCCAACAATGACCAAGTCCTGGGCAAAATCCCAAAAGACTGCTCCATCAAAGCTGAGGAATCTGAAGAGAGGAGAGTATGTAGAGACTAAGCCGCTGCCACAAATGATGGTGTCTAAGAGCAGCATTTGGATTTGGGGGCTATGGCTTAAGATGAAGAAATAAGGAACTTGACCAGGAATTGGATATCCCTACAGCCAGAAAAATCCATCTGCCAGCAGCCTTGGAAATCTGATGGCCCAAAACTGAAAAGAGAGACAAAGAGAGAAAAGTATCTACATCTTTCTATGCCAAGCTTGATATCAGAAAGAGTAGCAAGTATAGCATAGGAGGAAGAATAGCGAAAGAGGGCCAGTGAGTCACAGGAAGCAATATCCATGAAGGGAGCCAGCAATGCCACCTCAGATGTCAAAGTGCGAGTGCAAAAGTGAACCGGAGGTCCTAGTACAAGGAAGCAAACAAGACCTTGTGACTGGAAAGTAGATAAAAAGCTGGGGGGAGGGGGGAGAAAGTGACATCCTATATGAAAAAGACATGTAAGACTCATGTGAGGAAATCCGGGAAGTACAGGGGTGAAGGAAATGTGGCTGAGAGCATTGGGATGAAGATCAACCGGAGGAGAAATGGAAGAGGCATGGTTTTAGGAGTGCACTACACACTACTTGAGCAGAAGGAAGAGTTAGACACCGATTTCTAGAAACATCCCAAACCTAGCACAGAAACATGAAGTCATAGTGACCATACACTTCAACTATCCAGACACCTGTGGGAGCTTCAGCAAAAGCAGAGAAGCCACTAGGTTGGGGGCTTGCTTTGATAATCATCTAATCCTAATAAAGGCAGACAGTAACAAGGGAATCTGTAACTGCAGAAATAGAAATGACTCATAAGAAAGCAGCCCAAGTTCCAGCTTAAAATTTGGGATTGGGAAGAAAAAGCCAGAGTGGCCATGACAGAGAAAAGACTGGAGAATGTGCCAAGCGATGACCTGCTAGAGGAAACGGGGATGTCGGCCCAGGCCACGAAGGGTACACAAGTGCTGTGTTTGGGTTTAGACTTGGTCTGCTTGATCCCCAGAGAGGACAGAACTGAGGGCAGTGAGATGAGAGAGCAAGAGAGAGACAGAGAGAGAGAGAAGAGAGAGAGAGAGAGAGAGAGAGAGAGAGAGAGAGAGAGGAGAGAGAGAGAGAGAGAGAGAGAGAGAGAGAGAGAGAGAGAGAGAGAGAGAGAGAGAGAAAGAGAAAGGAGAGAGAGAAGAAAGAGGAGAGAGGAAAGAGAGACTGATTTAAGCTTGATGTCAGGAAACGAACCAATGAGAGCTGTCCAAGAGTAAGGTCATGGAAGGTTTTCAAGCACAGCCCAGATGCTCACTTGTGGGAAAGGGAAGTTGGAGATTGCACCAGGGGTGACCTTGACCTCTCAGCAGCTTTTGAGCTCTAAGGTCTGTAATTCTCTGAAGGGTAGTCTCTGGCCCCAAGCTTCACTGTGCCACTTTCAGTTCTCATTCTTCTCTGCTGTTTCTGCCCCTTCTGACTGCCCTCTCTCCTTGGCTTCCATGAGCCTCCGTTTTTCAGGTTCTCCTACCTTCCTCATCACTCCTTTTTGACTTCTCTTGATTCCCTCTACGTCAGCCTCTTCACTGGCATCAGCTAGCACGTGTGCCCGAGTGATTCCCAAAGCTGCATGGCTACCTAGCAGGCTCTCTGTGCCATGTTTCCTGGAGCCTCACTAAATACCTGCTCTTCTTTCTTCCTTGGCAATGTCTGTTAGTGGCAGCCCCGCCCACGTGCCCCTGCTTAGAAGACCACTGGGCATGTTCCATTTGGGGTCCCATCAGTCACCAGGACCATTGGAAGGCTGGCCTTTCATGGCCTCTTAGCTGAACTGTTGCCACAGCCTCCAGTTACTCTCCCCTCTCACCCACCCTACCAGACACTGCCAGATTAGTGTCCTCAGTACAGTGGCATGGCTCTGTCACTCCACTGCACAAAATTCTTCAAAGGTCTTTATCATTGCCCATCAAATAGGTCCAAGCTCTGAAGCCTGGCATTTGAGGCCTCCACAATCTGGCTCCAATAGCCTTGGCCAGTCCAAGCTTGCATGGGTCCCCCTCTCAGAATTCCGTTTGGCTTGACATCCCTGGAATGTCATCTTTGTCTTCTGGCTTGGAGGCCTCTACAGCTACCATTCCCCCTGCCTGCAGTGTCCTCCCATAAGAGCTCCTTCTAATGATGTCCTTCAAGGTCTAGCGCAAATGCTGCCTCCTCCAGGAGGCCTTCCCAGCCCACCCCCATCAAGATGTGCTCTCTGCTTCCACTGATTATATAGCCTTCTATGTATCCGTATTCATCCTCTTGCATATAATGGTTGTCTGTGTCCATGTTTTCTCCCCTTGCCAGACTGGAAGCTCCCTGAGGGCAGACCTCATGTCTCAGAGAAACTTTGTATCTCTCCCCCCAGACCCTGTTGTGTATTTGGCACTTAATAAATACTTCTGGAACTGCATTTCAGGTGGCATTTTTATTGGCTGTCCAATGGTTTACTCTGCCCTAAGGAGGAGTTTGCCACCCCCACACAAGAAATCCTGAGCTCCCTACTAACCCCGTGCCTTGCCTGGCCCTGTGCCACTTCTCTGCCTCCACAAGCCCAAGGTATGAAGAATTGAAACAACCCAGTGGAAGAGGTTCCATTGTCTGCCCCCCTCCCTGAGTCTCTGGGTCCCACAAGTCCACCCACAGCTCCCCTACGTGCACATCCTTGCCTGCTCCCTCAATACCTCCCTCCTAAGACAGGGAGCTTGCTGGTGGGTAGCTTTCAGACAAACTCCAGCTCCTGGCTCTCTGAGATCCCATATTGGACCTTATGCTCATCAAACAGCTTCCGCAGGGCCGTGAGGTACAAGGCATGGTATTTGTCCACCATCTCCTGGCTCGGGTTCTCTATCTTGGGGATCAGTAGGGGCTTCCCAACTGCAAGGGCAGAAAATGAAAATGGGAAGGCATCAGAATCACTCCCTCCCTGGAAGGGACCATAGGCAGCAAGCCCTGGACTGAGGCCTTCCCTCCCCTTTCCCTTCCCTCATCTCTTTTCCCCTTCTCTTCCCTACCTTCTCCTCCCCTTCCCTCCTTTCCCTTCCCCTAGCCTGACCAGTGACCCTCGGAAGCCCCTGACTCTCCAGACTCTTTTACTGGAAAGGATCATAGACATCATTGAGTCCAAAGGAGTCATTTCTTTAGGTTTCACACAAGCTGGGCACAGGAGGTGGAGACGAGAGTAGGATGAGGGGACTAGGAGGAGCATAGGCTTAGGAACTGGAAGGGTCCTTAGGGCAGACTGTAGAGATCATCTAGGCCAACCTTCTTGTTTTACAGATGAGGAAACTGACCCCAAACCCGCTGCCCTGTGTCGTACGCCCCCTCCAAGACACAGGGGTTCTGTCTTGGGAACCTTTGGCTCCACAGCACTAAGGCCCCCAAGAGCTCTTCATGATTTCAGGGATCTGTCATTTTGCCAGGATACCCGCTCCCTCCATGTATACAGAGATGGCAATCTCTGTGTGCCTCAGTAGATGGTCAGCTGCTGGCATTGAACAGCAGTCAATCCCCCTGGGGCTAGCCTGGTGAGGAGCTAGGGGCCGGTGCCTGTACCCAAGACCTCTCCAGCTTGCTCAGGCCTGTCCACGGCCAGCTCTGCCCTGCTTCTGTGACCAACCCTGGGGTGAGAGGCAGTGTTGGGTCTCAGCCAGAAAAGGGACTCACCGATGGTGGTGATGGGCCGGTTGTAAGGCAGAAGGCCCCAGGAGTTCTCAGTGAAGCCACGGCCATAGAAGGCGCAGGGGTAGATGTGCACCAACCTCTGAAACCACTCCTGGAAGCGGTTGACCCAGCCTCCTGGGGTGAAGATGTGCTGGTTGTAGGTTTCATTTTCTCCAAAGGAATAGGAGGGGACCAGGGCCACCCTGTGGAGATCAGGGGGATAAGGAGGGAACGGCAAGAAACAGGCTTCTGCAACCTCAACCTGGCCCCTCCCCTCCCCTCCCCTTTCCTTCCCTTCCCTTCCCCATATGGCTAAGACTGTGCCCCAGGGTGCCTCTTATGAAAGGGTTGCCATGGGGCCTCTCCCCCTCTTCCTCCACCGACAGGGGATGGGAGCAGGATCCCAGCAGGCCAGTCTGTTCACTGCTACTGTATCCCTCACCCCAGACTGCATCCATGTCCCCTGCTGAGACCAGTTGTCATTGAATCAGCCTCATCCCCTGAGCTCCCTGAAGTCCTTTCTTCATCCCCTAAGGGCTGGCAGGAGTGAGCAAGGACCCCAGGCCCACCCCAGGCTAGGCCACCTACCCATGCCGGAGGGCCATGTGCACAAAGCCCTTCCGCTTCTTCAGAACAAGCTTGGAGAAGCCGGGCTTGCCATAGCGGCACTCGGCCAGGCCGCCCACCACCACCACCACAGCATTGCCTGTGCCTCTGTTGCTTAGCAGGTACTCCATGGAGGCTCGGCTCACAGAACATGCTCCTAAAGGGCAGAGAAGCTCAGAAGGGCCACAAAATCTGCCTGAGTCCAGAGGCTTCATGAGGCAAGCACCTGGGCTGGGGCTCTGCATCCCACGTTCACTAACTTCAAGATGTAGCCTGGAGTCTCCTTAGTTAAGGGTAAAGTTGGGGGCAAGGGGAACAGAGGAGGAGAATGGGGAGGTTCTTTTCCTGGGGCTGTGTGCCCTGATCTTGGGTGGACAGATGGGTCTCACAGGCACTAATGGTACAACCCCTTCGTTGTTTCCCATTGGGAGAGGGCAATGACAGTCTCTACAGAAGCATCAGGAAGCCGAGGGGCCCCGCCCCAAATGGGACATCTCTGTTCTCTGAGGATCTCCAGAGGGCAGGGTCCTCCAGGGGTCATTTAGCCCAGCCCCAGGCCTCCAAGCCCAAATGTCCCAATCATACCACTTCAGAAGCTTAAACAGAACAAAGACACTATTATCCCAAGGCCTGCTTTCCCCAGGCCTCCAGATTTCTCAAGACTCAAACCTCCCAACTGATGGTCTGCCCTTTCCCTGGCTCTGCCAGAGTGTCTAGATGCAACTGGAGCCCCTCTCACGATGCTCACCCAGAATTTAGCACAATAGAGAGCACCGCTCCCCTTCCCCATGCCCATGTTGGGGATGAAGCGTGCACTCAGAGGTCTCAGCAGGCAGCCCAGTCCAGCCCAGCCTTCTCAACTGTGGCATGAGGTCTGTGTCCACCCTTCCTGGCTCCCTGGAACCCCAGCCTGACAGTAGCCATTCCCAGCTTGTATGTATTTCACCCTGAGGGTTAGAGCTAGAAATCTCTCTCCTCACTTCCCAGAGTCAGCTCAGTTGAAGAATCCAACTGACTCAAAATCTGGTGGATCAGAATGAGAAGGAGATGGGAGTGGAGGGGAAAGGAAGGCTAGGTATCCTAGACTCCCAGAATGAAAGCCAGAAGGGGCCCTAGAGACCATCCCCATTATCACATGCTCCACAAATCGGCCTCCAGCCTCTGTAGGGAGAGGGAGCCCAGCCCAGCCCACCTGTGGTTAACCCACTGCTTCTAAGGGGCATTGTTCCTGACCTCAAGCCTAAATCTGCCTCCCTGCACCTTCCCCCCATTGCTGCTGCCACCCGGAACAAGTCTAATGGATCTGGCACAGGACAGAAAAGCAGCATGGCTGGCTCTCCAAAGTCTTCTCGCCTCTAAGCTGAATAGCGGGATAGCCTCAGCTCCTTGATAGCTATCCCAGTGGCCCTTCCCATGGAAAGTCCAGCCGGCCAATACCCTCTGTCTCCTGAACACCAGCTGGCGCCTCTCCTCTGGAAAGGCAGCCACCCCCTCAGAACCTGCAGTGCAGAACAGTCTCCCCGGCCTGTACTTCTGCATCAAGACGTTTGCCCCTATTAAACTGTCCCTAATTAGGTCCAGACCAATGTTGGATTCCAAAGCTGTCACCCAGCTTTCTCTTCTAGTCCCATGACATCTGCGAATGTGCTGAGCATTCCATGGGTACCTTCACCTAAGTCTTTAATACAAATGTTGGGCAGAATATTACTAATCACTGTAGCTAGCAAAACTCCAATCACACTTTAAAGCCAACCAAGCAGTCTGGGTATCATCTCCTGCGATCCTCATTTGCCCAGAAGAGGGCTGAAGACAGATCCCTGAGGCACTCCATCAGAGACATCCCTGTTTCTTTGTCTCTTCAGGTCTATGTGTGTCCCCAGGTGGATCTGTATGTTCCTAGGTGGGGCAGCGAATGTTTGGTGGAGGACAGAGGGGGCCTTCTTATAGAGGTGTGAGCAATAGGAGCCACTCCCACACCCCACAGCCAATCACCAGCCTTTCAGACCCATCTCCTGGGGGAAGGCTTGGTCACCAAGCAACTCACCACCACACATCATATATTCCCTAAGGACAGGCACCCAGAAGAAGGCTCCCAAGGTGAGTAGGTATGGGGTGATGCCAGGGAAGATCCTGGAGAAGCCGGAGGCCTCAGTAGCAAAGTGACAAAAAGTGCCATGCGACATGAGCCCATGGGGGTGAACAGCGATGATGTAATTGTGTCTAGGGGATAGGTCATGAGTCTTCACCATCTGGGGATGAGGGGGAGACTGAGTCAGGAAGGAAGGTGGACAAAAAGGCAGCAAAGGGCCAGGACCAAGATGTAGGGATCTACTTACCTTGAGCGGAAAGTAATCTCTGAAATGTTTCCATAGACACCAACCTCTCACCCAGTCTGACCTCCGGCCACCTGCAAATACACCAGAACCTCCCCAAAGTTGCTCCATCAGCCCCCAGGGGCAAAGTTGCAGGGGGCCAGAGCTTCCTCCTCTGTGTGCTCTCAATTCTCCAGCACAATCACTCTGTCAGTATGACTAGCCCCATTTTACAGGAGAGCAAATGGAGGCTGAAAGGCATGAATCCAGTTGCCCAGGGTTGCATAGGATATTCCTCAAAGCTGAGACAAGACCTTTTGACTACAGGTCCCAAGTGCTTTCTCCCATTCCACACCACACACTACCCCACCCCCAGAAATGAGGCCCAGCTGGGACCAAGCACCCCTTCCTGCCTAGATTTATGTTTTAGTCCATGCTCAGGCCTCTCCCCCACTCCAGCTCCCCAACAACCCCTCCAGGGCCCTACCTTGCTGAGGGGTCTTCCAGTCAAAAATCAGCCAGATAATTGTGAGCCCAGCCAGCGGCCAGTATGGTGTGAACACCACCAGGTAGAGGTGGAAAAGGGCCACAAATAAAACTGAGAGAATTACAGCAGAGCATTAAAGGGTTAATCACTACAACTTCCAGGCAATCACACACACTCTCACACACACACTGGTGGCCAGACCCTTTCAGCACCAAGTCAGCAGCACAAACACATAGAGGAAGGAAGCAGAGACCTCAGGGTCCAGAGTCTCAGAGCAGGAACCCCAGAACACAGATGGCAGAGCTGAGGGCAGGGAGTGGGGAACCTTAGATCACATAATGGCAGAGCTGAGGGGAGGAGGTGGGGAACCTTAGAACATGATGGCAGAACTGGGAAGGGACTTTTAGAACAGTGAATGTGTTTGTGGAAATTGTGGCCCAGAGGGATGCAGTAACCTATCTGACCTAGTGGGTGGCCAAAATTCAAGATTCAAACCTCATTTTTCTGCCTCCAAAACAGTTTCTCCCACCCCAGCTAATCCAGGGTCTTGCTCACCTATACCTACTCTAAGGTGCATATTCATTCTCCAGTACATTGGCCCAGACAACTCCCAAGTCCTCTTCCTCCTCCATCCTTGGAGGCTGAGGGTGAAGCCTAAATCTCGGTCTTCTACCCCCTGGCCCTCTCCTTTCGCAGCACCAATTCCTTTGTGACTTAACAGGCCCACCTCCAGGGAAGCCCCCAAAGGAGGTGAGGCCCTCACCCTCTCCCCCTAGTACATTACAAGCACCATTTGGGGAAAGGTAACAGGAGGAAGGGCTAAAACCAGGCAAATTGTTGGGGACACCTAGGGGCTGAGAAAAGGCCTGGCTTGCTGATGGTGGGGAAAGGGAAGGGAAACTGGAAGAGTCCCTGACTGAGGGAAGGGCCCCTCCCAAAAAAAAGACTTCTCAAGCTCCAGAAACATCAGGATTGTCAGATTCCAGCAGCAAGGGATTCAGACAGAGTTTAGAGGTGTGTGGGAGTCCCTGCTTCCCTGTTCTTCCACCTGCTCTTTGGCCTCCAGCCCTCTTCTCATCCTCAATCAATTGTCCAATTTGAACACCAGTTATGATGTCTCCACCAGGTTTAAGGCCCTGTGCTAGGAGCTGGAGATGCCGAGAGGAAACAAAAACCAAGCCCACTCCTCACAGAACAAGTGCTCGGCCCCAAGTGGGTCAGGGAAAGTTTCCTAAGCCAGGGGGCCCCTGAGCTCCGGATGCTCCCAAGCAGAAGTGCCTTCAGGGCCAGTAAAAGGAAGTTCAGGGAGTAGCAGTAAGACCAGACTGCCTGCAATGACACAGGCTACATGCACGCAGGCTGGGGAGTAACCTATAAGAAAGCCACAAAGGGAGGCTACAGGCAGATTGGGAGGACCCTTAAACACAAATACAAGAGTTTGGTCCTTTGTCATGAATGTAATAGGGAGCCCCTGAAACCTGCTGAGCACGGTGGGAACATGGTAAGACCTGAGCTTTAAGATTATTTTGGTGCTTGTGGGAGAACAGATCGGAGAGGGGAAGGCAGCAGGGAAACCTTCCCCCTCTCCCCCACCCATTTCCTCCCAGGTCATCATGCCTGGCCTACACTCACTTTCTTTCTTTCCCAGCCTTGACAAATCCTAGCATTGACAAGTTCAACAAGGTACCCTCCTATAGTCCTGTGGAAAAATGCTCCAGATCACTAATAATTAGAGGAATGCAAATTAAAACAACTTTGAAATATCATCTCATACCCATCAGCTTGGCTAAGATGACAGAAAAGGAAAATGACAAATGCTAGAGGGGCTGTGGGAAAACAGGTGGACTGAGAACTCATCTAAACATTGTGGCAAGCAGTTTGGTACTTTGCCCCAAAGGTACTAAACCATGCATACCCTTTGACCCAGCAACAGTACTACCTTATGCCCCAAAGAGATCAAGGAAAGAGGAAAAGGACACACAAGTACGAAACTATTAAGAGCAGCTCTTTGTATAATAGCAAAGAACTGGAAAGTGAGGGAATGCCAATCAGTTGGGAAATGGTTTAACAAGTTCTAGTGTATGAATATAATAGAATGCTATTGTTCTGTAAGAAGGGGATGGGTTCAGAAAAACCTGGGAAGACTTATACAAACTGATGCAAAGTAAATTGAGCTGAACCAGGAGAACAAGTCCTACAATAGCAACAACACTGTCAAGATTATCAACTGTGAAAGACTTAGCAGCTCAGATCATCATTGACCAGTCACAGTTCCAAAGGCCTCATGACAAAACAATGCTCACCCACCTCTAGCTGCTGGACTCAGAGGGCAGATTGAAGCATATTTTCTGTTCTTTCTTTCTTTTTCTGGCTTTTTTTTAGAATATGGATAATGTAGACAACTGTTTTGTATGACTTCATATTTGTAATAAGCTTTCTATTTTTTGCCTTCTCAATGGGTGGGGAAGAGGAGACAGAGGGAGAGAATTTGCAACTGAAAATAAAATGAAACTGAATGGGGAAAAAGGGACTCTCCTTCACCCTTGAGTTCTTTGAGCCCTCATCCTTCAGCTATTCATTCCCTGCTAATCAGTCAATAAGCATTTATTAAGCTCCACCCCGGTTCACTACCCCTCATCCCTCTGCTCTGCTCCCACTCCAGAGAAGTCACAAAACCATCCAGCAATAGCACTCTCTTCTCCACCCCCCTGCAGTCTCCCATGTCCCAGATGACTTCTGCCATTAACTCTGCATTTAAACCTGTCTCACATGAGGTGGCCCTTCTTCTTGGCAAGGCCAACCCCTTGACATGCCCAAGTGATCTGGAAGGGCCCTGTGAGTTCACCTAATCCTGCGCCATAACTAGGGTAGGAGAAGCAGGGCTTTGCCCCCATGGTGCCTGACATCCGGGGCATACTTCCCTTCTCCCCCCTCTCCCAGACCCAGGGTTCTCTGCCAACCTCGTACAAATGCCTCCGTATATCTACTAGGCTAAGGTCTTCCTTCACTCACCTAGCCCCAGGCCACTGCATCCAAATAATGCCATCACCTCTGTGCCCCTCCCACAAGGTCTGGTGGCTGGGACATGATCACATCCCAGGGTCAAAGGAGGCACTGCTACATCTTCCTCACTCCCACTGGACCCCTGCCCCTGCACTCCCTGATGGAGGAGTGATGCCTAGTCACCTAAGCCACTCCATTATGCACCTTCCAACTCGAAGGTCTGATGTTCCAAGTGCCTTCCAGCTCTCATCTAATTCTATGTCCCAGGGCCTGGCTCAGCTCCAACTTGCTATGTCTAAGAAGTCCTTCCTGGCTCTGACATTTTAAAGCATGTGATCCTCTGACTGATCATTTGCAACCAATCTCCTTGAGAAGACCGGGGCCCTGGATTTTGTCTGCTACAGCTTCATTAAGAATAAAACCTGCCGTGTGTTACTAACAAAGCCCAGCAGCAAAAGATAGAAAGAGAAAGTCCATTTAAAGTTACTGTAGACATTATAAAGTATTTGGGAGTCTACCTGCCAAAACAAACCCAGGAACTAACTATAGGAACACAATTACAAAATACTTCTCACACAAATTAAGTCAGATCTAAAGAACTGGAAAAATATCAGTTGCTCATGGGTAGGCCAAGCTAATATAACAAAAATGACAATTCTACCTAAATTCATTTACTTATTCAATGCCGTACCAACCAAACTACCAAAAACTTATTGTATAGAGCTAGAAAAAATAATAACAAGATTCATCTGGAAGAACAAAAGGTCTAGAATATCAAGGGAACTAATGAAAAGAAATACAAGGGAAGGTGGCCTAGCCATTCCAGACCTTAAATTGTTTTATAAAGAGAAGAATTTATGATCAAATGAGATAGAGAACATTATGAAATGCGAAATGGATGATTTTGATTACATTAAATTGAAAAGATTTTGCACAAAAAAAGCCAATGTGTCTAAGATTAGGAGGGAAGCAGAAAGCTGGGAAACAATTTTTACGGTGTCTCTGATAAAGGCCTTATTTCTAAAATATATAGAGAAAGGAGTCAAATTTATAAGAAAGCAAGTCATTCCCCAATTGATAAATGGTCAAAGGATATGAACAAGCAGTTTTCAGATGAAGAAATAAATCATTATTGATTAGAGAAATGCAAATAAAAACAACTCTGAGGTACCACATCACACCTATCAGATTGGCCAGCATGACAAAACAGGAAAATGATAAATATTGGGGAAGATGTGGGAAAATTGGAACACTCAGGCATTGTTGGTGGAGTTGTGAATTGATCCAACCATTCTGGAAAGCAATTTGAAACTATGCCCAAAGGGCTATAAAAATGTGCATACCCTTTTACCCAGCAATAGCACTTCTAGGGCTGTATCCCAAAGAGATCATACAAATGGGAAAAGGACCCACATGTACAAAAACATTTATAGCAGTTCTTTTTGTGGTGGCCAAGAATTGGAAATGGAGGGAATGCCCATCCATTGGGGAATGGCTGAACAAGTTGTGGTATATATGAATGTAACGGAATACTATTGTGCTATAAGAAATGATGAGCAGGCGGACTTCAGAAAAACCTGGAAAGACGTGTATGGTCTGATGCCGAGTGAAGTGAGCAGAACCAGGAGAACATTGTACACGGTAACAGCCACACTGTGAGATGACTGACTTTGATAGACTTAGTCCTTCTCAGCAATGCAAGGATCTAAGACACCTCCAAAGGCCTCATGATGGAAAATGTTATCCACATCCAGAGAAAGAACCATGGAGAGTGAATGCAGATCGAAGCAGACTCTTTGCTGTCTTTTTCTTCTGTTTTCTTTTGTTTCTCCTTTGTCGTGGTTCCTCCCGTTGATCCTAATTCTTCTTTACAACATCACTAATGTGAAAATAGGTTTAATAGGAATATATATGTAGAGAATGTATATGTATCAGATTGCACATCATCTTGGGGAGGGGGAGGGGAGGAAGACGTAGAAAACTTAAAACTCAAAAGCTTATGGAAGTGAATGTTGAAAACTAAAAATAAATTATTTAATTTTAAAAAGCAGAAAACCTGTCAAAGTCATCTGATAGCTTCTGACAGCACAAAGGACCCACCTGGCAGCTGGAGGGCAGCAAGGGGGCTTCTGCCAGGCTTGTGACTCAGCAGCGGGTACTAACAGAGGTACTCTGTGTGGGAATAGTTGCAGGGGCCAGCTCAAGCCTCAGGGGTAGCTTTCCCATTTGGGTAAGCAGGCTGAAGGCCTAGAGCTCAGGCTCATTCAGTTTGGGGAAGATACCTGCTTGGGGCAGAATCAATGAGCTTGGGATTCAAAGTGATATAATAATGTAGCAGCATAGGGACAAGTCAGACAGAAGGTAAGAAACAGAGGAAGATCTCAGAGTCTGAGTGGCCAAGTGTCAAATAGGACCTAGCCAGAAAAAATTATGATTAGTAAAGCAATTCCAACATTTAGAACATACCTAGTGAAACTTGGTATAGGGTCTGGGAGTTTGGCCTCCCAAAGAGCTAGGAAAGCACTGGGCCTGCAGTCAGAAAAACCTGAGTTCAAATCCAGCCTAGCTGGGTAACCCTGGACAAGTCACTTAACCTCTGCTGACCTCAGTTTCCTCAACTATAAAACGAGGCTGATAAGAGCCCCTCCCTCCCAGGGTTGTTGTGAGGATCAAATGAGATCATAATTATAAGCACTTAGCATGGTGCCAGGCCCATAGTAGGCCCTATGTCAGTGCTTATTCCCTTCCTCATGGAACCCAACCCTAGTCATGGCCTGATCAGAGCCTGGAGCCACTTCAATGATCGATAACCAAAAAGGACGTGGAAACCTGGGAGGAGAGAAAGATGGGAGATTCCAATTCTAGAGGGAGATGCCACAAGCCATGCAGAAGACTGAGGAAATGAAGGTCAGCCCAGCAAAGACAAGCCAGCAGATCACAGGGCTTAGAGCTTGGTGGCCACTCAGAGATCACCCAAGTCAAGCCCTTCATTTTACAGCAGAGGAAACCAAGGCCAAAGAAGAGGGAAAGACTTGGCCAAGGTCACAATGACGGCCTAATCCTTGGCCTTGACTCCAAAGCTCCTGGGCTGTACCAATAGAAAGTCTGACAATGCCATAATCAGTTCTCATCTGACCTCATTACTCCCCTGTTCAAAAACCTTCAGTGGCTCCCTATTACTTCTAGAATAAAATACTGTTCTTTAGCTTGGCATTTACTATCCTCCACAATATAGCTCCAGACTGGGGGGCAGAAAGCATGGATAGAACAGCCCAGGCAAAGGCAGGGAGATGGGAGATCTCTGGTGCTTATCAAAATCTGGTGCCCCGCCCCCCCGCAAATGTATACATCTATACATCCTTCCATCCATGCATGCATGCATGCCTACAGCAGGAGCCACAGCCCCTGCCCTGCACTGGACTCACCAATGAGGAAGGCACTCAGAGCCCACTGGAAGATGGCAAAGACCTCCAATGCTGTCTTCAGGTCCTTGGAGATGGAGCCCATGGTGCCCAGGGCTGACCAGTGTCGATTACTCCCCAGCTGGAGCCGCAGGTCTCCTCTCTCTGTCTTGGCTCTCACAGACTCACAGGCACACACACACACACATACACATATGCCTCCCTGCCCACATACCTGCTCTTTTACCCAGTTCAGCATTGCCCCCTCACATGGCATAACTCCACTGGGGATTGTGACAGTGCCTATCCTCACCTTTGGCTATGGAGAGAGACATCTGGAAGGGGCTGGGCCAGAGGTAGGATCCAGGAAGTGCCAGGGAAGAAGAGAGGAAGGCACAGTTCACAGAGACTGCTCCTGAAAGGAGTCCTTGAGGCTGGGCTGTTGCCCACACCTGCCCCAGAACACTCATTCCTCTGCATGTGTGTGGATGTTGGCTAGCATGGAGGCTGTGTTTGTGTATCTGTCCAGGAATGTCTCTTCTGGGTGTGTGTGACATCCTGGGCACCTGGGTATGGCATCTAGACCTTTGTTAGGGAGCCTTCTTAAGGGCTATTAAGTGAAAACACCTATGGGGGGCAGTGAGGACTGTGTGTGTATGTGTATGTCTGTTTCCTCTGAGGCTGGACCTGACAGTCCCAGCTCCAGAGAAGGCATCCTAGATCAGGAAGGGTCAGATGGAGCCTGAGGCCACGGCTCCAGGGCTCATGTGACCCCCCTCATTTCCTTTTAAAGAGCTCCCTAGGGGCAGCTGTGTTTTCCCCTCTCCCCCCCCCCAAGCCCTAGAGGGGCAGGGAAATGGGGGTGGGAGAGAAACCATTGCTTGGCAGCTTAAGGCCTACTTGGGGTCTACCTCGGGAACTGTGGGCAGAAGCACAGACCTCTCAGGATGCCCTCTGCCTCCAAGCAAGCCCAGGTGGTTCCATCAGCATCAAACATTCCCTAAGCATCGAGGCATCTCCATATACATGTGCCTGTGTATGTGCAGAGGGGGTTGCCATGTTGGGCTATCCTGATAGGGACACACTGGGACATATAAAGCATGGCTTCTGCCTTCAGAACATTTGGGGAGACAGGAAGTCTCAGGGGAAGACAAGGGAAACTAAGCTAGGCCTATGGCCTAGGGAAATCTGAGAAGACTCTGGAGACCATGGGCCTTGACTTGGGCTTTTGCTGGAAGGGCCAGACTTTAAACAAGAAGAAGATGAAGGAGGGCATCGCAGGTGTGGGGAATGGCAAAGGCAAAGGCTTAGCAGAGCACATAGCTTGTGGGATAACAAAGAGATCAGTTCGGATAGGAGACAAGGTGGGACAAGAGCTTGTGGAGGGCCTGAAATGCCAGGCGTGTCAACAACACAGAGTCAGTCGCTGAGGGTTTCTGAGTAGGGAAGTGATAGTGGGTAGTGGGTAGAATGTTTGGCCCTAATTCCTCTATATACTATCCCCAGGCCCCCTGTTGCATGTGCTTCTGCTGGGGGTGCCACATGTGGTCACCAATCAGAGATACCAGGCAGCCACCAGCTCAGCTGAACCACCTGCCTGTAGGGGAGATGAAGTTACCAGCCAGCTTTGCCACCCTCTAACCAACTGACCTTGCAGGGTTGGGGCCCTTGGTGTTGTGGTTACCTCTAAGCTACTCATGGAATATTAGAGATGAAAATTACTTTAGAGGTGAGTTCAAGAGAAGGTAACTCAGACTCAGAGAGGGGAAGGACCTTGTCCAAGGCCACAGAGCAAGTCAATGGCAGAGCTGCCACTGTACATCCAAAAGGAGCCCATGGGGTTTGGGGGAGGAGCTGAGTTGGCCCATGGACTATTGGGAGGAAATTGGAGAAGTAGACAGCAGGGTCCTCTTCTCCCTAGCACTGTAACTAGTTACTTGTGAGCCCAAGATGAGAATAGAAAATAGAGCTCCCTCTATCTAAGGGAGAGCATGATAAGGGCATGGTTTTAATTTTTTAAAGAAACATTTGCTATCTTGGTTTTTTTTTAATCATCAGAATTTCTTCCAGTATCCTTCCCCTTTCCTCCCAAAGAGCCATCCATATAGCAAACAACATTTTGAAGAAAGAAAGAAAGAAAGAAAGAAAGAAAGAAAGAAAGAAAGAAAGAAAGAAAAGAAAGAAGAGAAAGAGAATAAAATCAGCAAAATGGATTGATATATTGAAAAAGTCTGCAAATGTGAGCACTCGTCCCCCAGCCCCCCACCCCCCACACCAGCTCCGCCAAGGAGAGGTAGGAGTCACTCTCTTCTCCTGTCTCTTCTTTGGGGCCCAGCTTCTGAATCATTTTGCAAAATTCACCTTCAGTTGTTTTTGGCTGGTCTTCCCTTCAGTGTTGTTGGAGTCCTCATGTCTGTCATTTCCTGGGCTCTGCTTCCTTTCCTCTGATCAGTTCAAGCCCAAGTCTTTCCAGGCCCCTGTGCTCCTCACATTCATCATTTCTTATAGCCCAGACACACTCCATCCCAGTCATCTCATTCAGCCAGTCCCCACTAAATGGACAGCCACTTTCTTGCTCATCCTGTGCTGCTATGAATATGCTGATGCCTATGAAACGTTCCTCTTACCGGTGACCTTGGGTTCTGAGCTGGAGGCCTGCTTCCCACCTGTTCTACACCCCTCAGATTTACTCCTGAGGACCAGTACCTCCCTTGCCTTGGCTTCCCCATCTCTCTGCCACTTACCCACTGCCTAGCTCCTCTGCCACAGGGACAGCTAACACGTGTAGCCTAGAGTTCCTTTCCCAGGTGTGTCAGGGCTAGGAAAGCATGGCCTCAGCCAGTTCCTGAGGACCCCAAGGGTTCAGGGATTTGAGTCGGGACTCTCTCACATCTAACAATGCTCAGTACTGGATCGCAGATTCATTCTCCTCTTGCAATTAAGAAAGCCATTGCTGTGAAAGGAGCAGGCTTTGAAAGTTCCAGGAGATGATGAAGTTTGAGGCTAGATAAGAGTCCAGCACCTCAATATCTCCTGCAAGAATAGAGATCAATGACCCCAAATTTCACAAAAGAAATAACTAAAAGGGGAAAGGGAGAAAAGGAGAAAAGAATGGGAGCAAGTGAAGAACCACAAATGAGAATCTCCTCGCTGATAAGGAGGCAGAAAGGACCAGGAAATGAGCAAGCAGAAAAGAAAGCCCTCCAGCACAATGAACCGAGATGATGGATTAAAAGGCCCCTAAGAGAAGTCGCTAGAAGGAAAAATAACAAACTTAGTTCAACAACAGCCCCAAAATGAAGGTGAAAATACCATGACACATACAACTGGATTTTAATAAACTTTAAAGGAAATTAAGGCAGATCTGACATTCCATCATCATCAACGTCATCATAAACTACCCTCTACTTTAAAGTTCACGGTATGAGCTGCATTGGAACCCTGTCAGGTAGGTACTACAGGCAGGGAAACTGAGGCTCAAAGAGGTTTAATGACTTGCCCAGGATAACAGAGCTACTCTGTAGAAAAGATAGGATTTGAACCCAGGTCTTTGGACATCCATCATGGTACAAATAGACCAGGACAATATGATCATGAAAATCTGTTGAGGGCCAGAGCTGAAGAGTCTAATATGGGATAAGATTTTAGGTTAGAGCTTGACTCTTTCCTTTTCCTACCCATAAGGGCTTAATTATTCAGAATCTTTGGCTCACCAATTTCCCCGTGCCTAGAAGGTATTAGAATACTCAGCCCCTTGAACCTTGATGGCAAGCAGGTGTGAACAATTAAGGGTTGGGATTAGTCACGGTAAGAATCATGGGAATGCCTGGGGGATGATAAATGGCTCAGTCTTTCACTGACCCACCCGGCCCACGTTTCTTCGTTGCACACTCTGCTGTTTGATGCAACACTTAGTGGCAGGCAACAAAAATCCACAGCACTGGGGTAGGGGTGGGGAGGGCATGAATGAAGGCATGGGAGAGGGAGAAAGGAAAGTGTGAGGCTGGCAATCAAACCATCCAAAGGGAGAAAATGTGCTGCAAAACAAGATCAAAGGCCTCCAGGACCCTTGATTTAGAGTCAAATGACATAATGGAAAACTTTCCAAATGAACACGATAGGACTAGGAGAGGCAGCTTGAGAAAGAAGGGTCAGGGTCATTAGATTCCTACATCTTGGAATTGATCAAAAGGCTTTCCTTGCCTCTTACTAAGAGCCAAATGCCATGCTAAGGTAGGGGATGCAAATACAAAAGCAAAGAAAGTTCCTGCCCTCTGGGAGCTTACATTCTTTTTTTTTCTTTTTTTCCCCCCAATTTTATTAATTTATTGATTTATCAACAATCACTTCCATATGCTTTTGAGTTGAAAATTTTTCTCCCCCTTCCTCCCCCCCCACCCTCCCCAAGACAGTGCACAATCTGATACAGGTTTTACATTTACATTTCTATTAAACATATTTTCACATTAGTGAAGTTGTAAGTAAAAATTAAAACCAATAGGAGGAACCATCAGAAAGATGAAACAAAACTCAACAGAAGGTAAAAATAAGTGATAGCGATTTGACTTCCATAGTTCTTTCTTTGGATGTGGACAGTATTTTCCATCCTGAGGCCTCTGGAGATGTCTTAGATCCTTGTAATGCTGAGAAGGGTTCAGTTTAACAATATTAGTCATCGCATAAGGTGGCTGTTATTGTGTACAAAGTCCTCTTGGTTCTGCTCACTTCACTCAGCATCAGACCATACAAGTCTTTCCAGGTTTTTCTGAAGTCAGCCTGTTCATCATTTCTTATAGCACAATAGTATTCCATGACATTCATATACCACAACTTGCTCAGCCATTCCCCAATGGATGGGCATCCTCTCAATTTCCAATTCTTGGCCACCACAAAAAGAGCTGCTATGAATATTTTTGTACATGTGGGTCCTTTTCCCATTTGTATGATCTCTTTGGGATATAGCCCTGTTCTCCAAAATGGTTGGATCATTTCACAATTCCACCAACAAGGTATTAGTGTTCCAATTTTCCCACATCCTCTCCAACATTTATCATTTTCCTGTTTTGTCATGTTGGCCAATCTGATAGGTGTGATGTGGTACCTCAGAGTTGTTTTGATTTGCATTTCTCTAATCAA